TTAAATGTTTACATCATTAAGTTACACGTCAAAGAACCCCTGGATAAAACAGCCTTTAAAGAGATAGTTTCCTTCTCCAGCAAGGGGAAATCACATGAAGGACAGGAAGACAAGCCCAATCTGCAATCCCAATTATAGTCATGGACCAACTAGTTAGAACAATCTGTGATAACTGGAATGCAATTCAGTACACCAGGAGCATACATCTCTCTTAGGAAGAGATAAAACACATTTTGAACACCACTGAATAGACTGAGCAGTCACATACTGAATAGAAAGGGTCTCTGTGACTGTTTACTACCAGACAGATGTCTATCACTTATATTTTCTACACCCAGCAGAGGAATCTGATACACTGAGGCAGGAGGATCATGCTTATCATCCAACCTGAGTTAAGTCAAGCACTAGGAGAGCACATGAAACACTAACAGTGTCTCTGTAGCCCTATAAAATTACAATAATACCACTTGGTCAACAATTATATAGACATTTAAATGCAAGATGCATGATGCTAAATCATGTGGAATTATTTTCACCATGGGGGAAAACGACAAATAAATCATATGCACACATTTTTATAGTATAAAGTTCTGAGTGCCTCTGCTTTGTTTATTTATGTCGTACAAGAACACTCACACAAAAGATGCTGGCAAAGCACTCAAACTTTCACCTTAACAAAACACATCAAGTAGAAGAGAAGATCTATCTCCACATGGACTAATGAAACAAAAATTACTTGTGTTAAAAGGTTATGCTAGCTAGAGCATTTTGTGCCAAAACTCCCCCAGTCACAACCATGTTTTCACAGTAAGACTAGGAAATAACTGTGTGTTTGTATCTACATACTGTATACAGCTACAGGAACAAGATGACCCAGATGATTTTGTTGGAAAGAGGCTCATAAAGCCCAACTACTTGAATCTTACTGTATTCACTTGGCCCAGAAACACCTTAAATTTTTAGAGCTGTCACTACAAACCTCGCTTCTAAATTGCTGTCAGTAATACATAAAAATGAGGCAGTTTTGGTTATCAGCAATTTGAATGGAAATGTGAAACCAGAAACATTCTACCTTCTAAATTCCTTATGACATTATTATGTCCATTACCTCTGATTTCCTTTCTTTTGCACAGTTACTGTGCAAATACTTTGCACACTGTAGACATACCTTTATACTGAGCTTCTTTGGCTCAGTTGTAAAAACTGATGTGAATGACTGGAAAGCAGTTGAAGGAAATTACCCCACACCAGCCAAGGAGCCCTTGCTTAATGTAATTTTTAAAGGGAAAAACGAGATCAAAATAAGACTGAATTCCCTTGGTAACATGAGGAAAGCTCCAGGGATATTACTGATAATCCTAGGCCAAAAGAGTTGTTTCTGTGGTGAATATAGCAACAGCAACTTGGCCGATTATCCCTGCAACAGTTTCATAATATAAATCCAATTTTATGCGGATTGTTCACTCTTGTTTACTTAGAGAAATGTTTTCAGTCTATTAGTTTTGATTAAACAAATCTGTTTTTAAAAACTGCCTAGAAACCTCTGAATGCTTCCATCTAAAGGACAGTATAATCTCTTGTTTTCAATATTCTGAAGATTTCCTTGCACTAAAATGTTTCTGCTAAGTTGCCGGATGCCTGATTTCCTCAGTCACTGAGACAAACACCTCTCCTCACTCCAGGAAAAATCAATACAAAATTAGCTAAACAAATGCAAAAAAATTACATGAACATAGAAGGGAAGATCAGTGTGTCATA